TACATTTTTATTTACTGTAAGGTGGCCTGATAGAGGCAGTGAATGATTACCTAAAAACAGTAATGTACTCTGCCATTTTTGCTTTTCATGCCTAGATCTCAGCATGAAGTTCAAGATTTAGAAAAAAATTAAGATAAATGTTTTGGAGTATCTTGGGTCAGTTAGGCTGTGCATGTTGAGTAACATGTTGCCTCTCCTTCCATCATTCAATACACATAGTATTCTCTCATTGGTAGGAGAGAGTTGTCACCTTTGAATATTATCCTATATTTTTCTTCTGTATCCTTTTTATATCTGTCATTATGAATGCTTTTGATCTAGATGCTTTGTCAGTTAAGATATTTTCATATGTAAATAACAGGAAATGCAATGTAAACTGGCTTAAATATTAAAGGAAATTAGTCATGTGATAAAAGTGAAAATACCTGGCAAAACTTGATCCAGGTGCTCTGGCAGTTTGATCAGAATCTTGGCTTTGCTTCCTTCATTTTTGTTCCATTTTCACCAGGTTCATCCATCATAGTTGCAGATGGAGCCTGTATGCTTTGGGGTTTAACTATAGAAGAAAAGAGAGAATCTGCTTCCCAGAGCTTCAGTGAAATCACATGCTATTGAATCTGGCTGGCCCACAATAGAGTCACATGTTAAGTTAAAGCTTTTTCATGACAATATGTGTAGTTATAAATGAAATATATTTAGGAGAAGTATTGATTGTATACAACATTGAGATGGCTTCCTTAAACAAAGTACTTAAGGCTGATATCTGAAGAGTGAATTAATTGGAGTTTCTAAGAGAAAAAGTGAGGGTTATCATTGCAAGCAGGAGCATTAACTAGTATAAAGGCCAAGAAGTCAGAAGAATTGTAAGTTACAAAATGAAAAGAAAACTAGAGTAGGTCAGAGCAGAGAGTGTGTCACAGGGGTCAGATTATTTTGATAATTCTGGGCTTTATTCTAAGCACATTGTGATATTGTGGATGAATTTTCAGCTGGGCAGAGATGGCACAATCATACATATTTTTAAAAGGTCACTGGCTTCAGAGTGGAGAGTTGATGAAGGTGAGTGAAGTTATTGTCACTTGAGGTAGGTAGGGAACACTGGAATATCATGACACTAGGGTGGGAAACAAGTGAAGGTAAATACCAGTTACTCAGTCGCTTCTCTGTGACATACACTTGCTATATGTAATTAAGATTCTGCACAGATTATGAAGTAGATAGTGTTTCTTCTATTTCACAGCTGAGCAGATTAAGGGTATTTACTGACTTGCCCATGATATACTCAGATCTGAACTCTAAGATTGGTCTGAATACATAAATCTGGCTCTTTAGGCCACACAGTGGTCTCTTTTCATGAGTTGCTATGTTTGTTTCCTCTGAGCAGTGTTAATTATAGGCCTCACGTCTTTCAGCCCTGCTGGCTACTGTTAACCCCCTTTACTGCAGAGAAAATCAAATAAGGTTGTTGGCAGTATGACTGAAGTTGCTTCTGTTCTTGGGCCTTGTGTATGAAGCATCTTAGTATATTCCCTTCATGAAGTGTATCAGCATAAAATTGTAACACTGCACTTGTTCCTTTCCTTGAGAACTGCTCCCCAACCCCCCCAGCCACTACTCCAACTACAATCTCTTAAACATGGACCAAAAACATTAGAAACTAAATTATCTCATGATAGTTATGTAATCTTTTGAGGTATTCTTGCTTCAGCTGCTTCAACCCCATATTATACTTACTTGACATCAGTATTGATTTTCTCTGTACCAGGGTTTTATCATTCATGCAGGGGCTGTCTGTTCCTTCAAGTTACTCAGCTATTTTTATTTTAATTATGTCATTCTGGAGTTACTTCCCTTGAAGATATATTCCTGCCATCATGGGCAGTGTAGCCTATTTTACTTCTCTGCCATTGCTTCATTATTCATAAAAATGAATTTTTCAGGGTTCTCTGGTTTTTTATATTTTCCTGAAATCAGATCTAAATTTGTGTTTTAAACAGTGTAGTGTTCTGTGTATCTTGTGGGTTTTTTTAAACTTTCATATTTCCTTCAAAGGAAAATTATACCAGATTTGTGAGGAAAATATGATGGTGTCTGTATCTGTTACCACATCTTTTCACCAGATGTGCTTGCCATTTACTTTCATTTTATGGGTTTTACCGTAAGAGATTTTTTGTTTTGGTTTGGTTGGCTTTGGGTTTTTTACTTGTTTTTTGGTGTTTTTTTGTTTGTTTTGTTTTGGGTTCTAGGTACTAAGCTCTAGATGAGACTATCTCATCTAGTTTTTACTTTCTCTCAGACCTAAAGTACTTTGTACAGGCCTGCAATCTCCGTTCCATAATACCAAAATCCAAAATGCTTGAAAGAGGTTTTTCAGTCTTTTGGTACCAAACTTCCTTTGTTGACAATTCTCTTAAACTGTTTTTCCTATTTAGTGTGAATATTCATGTATTTCACCGAATTTGGTTATAGAATTGCTGCCCACCCCCACCCCCCACCCCCAGTCTCTCTGGTGATGTTACATAGTATATGGCATACCATGTTGCCTTTCAAAAATCCAAACAGATTTTTATGTCTGAAACAATTGGCCTTAAGTGTTTGGGGTCAGGATTGTGGACTTGTGTCTGTATCCCTAGCACTGGTTGCAGTGTGCTGTGGCAGTTTGTTCCCTTGTCTAACTATCCTGTTACACTTTGAACTAGAAAGGTTTCCTCTTTGGACCCACAGACCGTAGTTTATTGGATACTTAATAAACAGCACTAAACAGAGTGGGTACTTAATACTGAAATTGAATACCAAAAATTAAGGCAAACCTTTTACCAGATAGGTTATTGAGCTACAGATTATAGCATGTTTTCTTTTTACTTAGTTACATGTTCTTTTTAAGCAGTCTTTTTCCTCTTCTGCTTCTTTGTTCTTACTGAAATTTTGTCTTCACCACTTACAAAGCACTATGTGATCTTGAACCAGCTTACTTATTAACACCTCAGTATATTCGTTTGTTCATTTGTAAAAATGGTGTAATAATTTTGCTTACCTCAAAGGATTGTTGTGAGGGCTAACCAGAATGCTTCCTGGAATTTAGCACTCCTTTTGCTGTTAACATAGCTGTTATTGATTCATATCCTGTTGGTTACCTTACTAACATATGGTCAGCCATTCTTTTATTGACTTTGAAGTCATTTTCAGTGCTTTGACACTTTTTAGCAATGCTGAAGTTAATCCTTGCATGTATGTTTGTAAGTCTTTGTGGTCTTATTTTGGGGGGATTGATTGAAGTGGGATTGTTGAATTAGTAGCCCCTAATAGTTTTAATTTTAGTGGATGCTTCCATGTTACTTTCCTAAGACAGAATTGAGGTGGGGGGTAGGAAGTGGCAGTTTTCAGTGCCACCAGCAGTCTTTAAGAGTGCTCTTTTCCTGTAACCTTACCAGCAATGGGTTTATCAGTTCACTTTTTAAAATGTAATTATAAACTTATCGGAAATTATAAGAATAGTCCCATCTATACCTCTGCTTCCTCTAGTAGTAGCATCCTTATATAGCTGTCGTATGATATCAAAGCCAGGAAACTGACACCAGTACAGTACTGCTAACAGAGACTTGAATATTTTGATTTCTCCAAGTCTGACCAATGGGGTTTCAGTTTCATTTGTTTTCCTTTAACCACTGTTAAGTTTGGGCAGCTTTTCATGTATTCTGTTGGCTGTTTATACTGCATGTTCATATCCTTAATCCATTTTTTTCTAATTGGTTGTGTTTTCCTAAAAGAAGCTGTTTTAGGATTATTCATTTTTTTGTCTGCCATTTGTTTTGCAGTTACTTATTCTAGCTTTGTATGTTTTGTGTTATTTTGTTGATGATACTTCTTTCCTGTACAGAAATGTTTATTTAGTTACTAAGGTTTTCTTTAGTGGTGTTAGAGTTTTCTCTCTCATGTCAAAAGTTTGGTCTATCCTGTAGGATACCACACATCTCCATTTAGAAAAATGAATTGATTGTGATTAGAAAGAAAAATGTTATATATAAATTTTCTACAGATAATTTATTATATAGCTAAAACTCCAGAAAATATGATAAATGTATATTAGCTTCCCTGGTGGCTTGGTGGTAAAGAATCTGCCTGTAATGCAGGAGACCTGAGTTTGAGCCCTGGGTTGGGAAGATTCCCCTGGAGAAGGAAATGGCAACTCATTCCAGTATTCTTGTCTGGAAATTCTCATGAACAGAGGAGCCTGGCAGGCTGCAGTCCATGGGGTTGCAAAAGAGTTTGACACAACTTAGTGAATAAACAACAACATATTAGAATTAGTAAACTTTTAATCAAGTTTCTACATAGAAGGTGAATATTCCAAAGCCTGTTTTATAAGTCTTTTTAAGTGATCTTATGATAGGTCTAAATATAAGAGACCATTATAATATAGATAAATACGGAATCATTATGTTATACACTTGACACTATAATGTTATATGTCAGTTATATCTTAGTTTAAAAAAGGCCATGGAAGTATGTTCTTTCCATAACTAAAATTCATTCTGGTGCAGCAGTATGGAAGGCGATTAATATTGTTTATTTCTCTTTGTGTTTTCTTTTTCCTCCCTGTTTTATTTATGAACAGTTAAGGCTTGTGCTAAATGAAATATATTAAAAAAATTTTTTTCAGCTTTATTGAAGTGTTAACAAATAAAATTGTGAGTAAAGTAAAATCTTTACAGAATACTTCTGTGATACTTCTGTGAGAGAAATTTTTCTTGACTTAAATGTTAGATGCTGAATTGAGATTAAGAAAATTATAAAATTATTTTTTCTTTTTGAATTTTACATCCATTTTCTCCATGGCCACCTCTCTAGATTTATAGACTTTTTATAGTTTATAAAGTGTGTTTTGTCAAATGAATGTTGATCCATCATTAATTTTATCTTAATTCAGTGTTGCATAGGCTACTGAGAGACTAGAAACTAATCATTGTGTTCTTTTTGTTTTGTTTTGTTTTGTTCGACAGTGGAACTTCCCCTCTTGCATGCCTGAATGCCATGCTGCACACAAACTCCCGAGGTGAAGAAGGCATCTTCTATAAGGTTCCAGGTAGAATGGGAGTATATACTTTGAAGGTAAATATTGTTGTTAGGGGGTCATTTTAAAAGTGAAAACAGGAAGTGACTATATATAAATAATACTTGAGTCATAGAGACAGAATTCTGTTCTTGAAGAGCTTACTTTCAAGAAGAAGTAAAAATTTCAATCCCATGTCCAGTACTTTTTTCTTTAATCTGTGGCCATTTGTAGGTAGATTGGAGAAGTAACTTCACTTTTCATTCTCTGCCACAATATTATTTTGAAAGGATGAATTGAAAATTACTTCCAGTGACTTTTTAAAGGGCCTCACATTATTTAAATAATAATGAGTGTTACCGTGGAGCATGTAGCTTTAATGCTTTATACTACTTTCTCATTTAATTCTCCGTTACAATTCAGAACTATGGTTATTATTTCTTTATTATAATGGAGAAAGCCGAAGTTCAGAAGATTGGATTTTCTTGCCCAGTGTTGGCCAGATAGTATTAGAGCCAGAATATGAATTCAGATCTAACTGAATTTCCATTTTCTTTTACCATAACAAGCTTGCTAATTTCTAATTCTTGCACTAAAAAGGGATCTTGACTTATCAGTGTCCTTACAGTTATAAACAGAAAAACCAACCCAAATGAACTTGAGGAAAACAGAGAATTTATTAGTTCACATAGCTCAAAGTTTTAGGGAAACTCAGCCTGAATTCAGGAGCTCAAATGATTGTCATCAGAAATGGGTCTCTCTTTTTTGGCCTCATTCCAAGGCAGGCCTTCTCCTCATCTACATGACTTTACTCCCAAGCCCCAGTCTGGACGCTGTAAGCCTGGGGAGAAGGAGTCTCACAAACTGAAGCAGGAGCCCTTTTGGTATTATTTTGGCTTACTTGGTATGGCTTGGCGTATGTGCCTGTACTTAAAGGATCGCCTTTGCCAAATGTATTGAATCTTCTGATGGCCGCCCTTAGGTTCATGATCACCCTTGATATGAGGGTGTGGTTAAGCCCTCTCTAGCCAGATGGATTGAGGAGAGCGTTACTTCTCAAAGGAAATTCATCAGCAGTGACTTATGTCCACGTGTGTGCAGCTCTTCCCCTCTTAACCTTTTTAGCTCCAGCTGTAGTCCTCCCTGTGCTTGGTGGTTGTGTGTAGCACGCTAACTTTTAAAAGATCTAACTCACCTTTAATACCTTCTTTTAAAACACCTTGTTCAACTTCTTGGGGTTACAGGGATCTAGCCTACATGGAGCTCTCTATATTTCTTTTAGGTTTTAGCTGTTGGAGACATTGCTAAAAACATTTATTAAATGCCTACTCTGTACTGGACGCGTAGAGGCTATAAAGAAGGATAAATTCAGGTCCCTGATCTCTTAAATCTCACATAGTTACTGAAATAATTAGTGACAGAATGTATTATGCTATAAAGTGCTGTTATAGTGTAGAGAAATAAAGATTCATCTTGAATAAAGGAATTTAGAAGCTTTTGTTTTTATTTTTGCTATTTTAAAGTTGTAAAATATGAGTTGAACTTTGGTAGATAAGTAATGGGAGGAAGGGCCTTCTAGGACAAGGGAATAGGTTAAGCAGAGGCACAGATAAAAGGATTCAGAATGGACTTGGGAGTAAATTAGAGTGGTTAGACCATAATCTATGTGTGGGCTAGTGTGGTAAGGAGTCGGAGTGAGGTAAATGTTGGGTGAAGAACACACTTTGGAGGCTTTTGAAAACCTGACTTGCAGTTGGAGAGAGGAAGGAGAGAGGGTAGGCATGTGTAGAGGAAGGAGGGAGGGTAGGCATGTGTTGAGGAAGTGGCAGAGGTTTTCAGGAGAATAGCATGATCAAATCCATGTTTAGAGGATAATTCAAGTAGGATACACTTAAAGAGTTAAACAGGAAAACTTGTCAAAAAGATGATTATGATTGTTTAGAAGAGATAATTGAGCTGAACTGTGAGAATGATTGGGGCTTCCCTGGTGGCTCAGAGGCAGAGAATCTGCCTGCAGTGTGGAAGACTGGGGTTTGATCCCTGGGTCAGAAAGATTCCCTGGAGAAGGGAATGGCTACCCACTCTAGTATTCTTGCCTGGAGAATTCCATGGACAGAGAAGCCTGGCAGGTTATAGTCCATGGGGTCGCAAAGAGTCAGACACGACTGAGCGACTAACACTTTTCATGAGAGTGCTAAAAGAGATGGAGGCAAGGAACATTAGAGAAATAAAATGTGAACTATTGGGAGTAAAAGAAGGGATACAGTGATTCTAAGATGTTGGGTGTGAGGTGATCCTGGAGCGATCACAAGTTTAAGAAGATAGTTATATTTGTACTAAAGTATTTGTAGAACTTATGGATCAAGAGGTCTCTTTGGCAACTAATCTGTAAAAGTTTCCTGCATTTTGAAAGAAAGACTAGAAAACCAAGGGACATGTATTTTAAGAAAGTGTACAACATGTGAAATGGCGCTGGAGGAAAAACAGCTCCTTAGCAGGTCAGAGGTTGCTGTCTTCTTTTTACTTTGTTGACCACACCCTGCAGCATGTGGGATCTTAGTTCCCCCATCAGTAGTTGAACCTGTGCCCCCTCCGGTGCAAGCTCAGAGTCTTAACCACTGAACCAAAAGGGAAGCCCCAAGGGAAGCCCCCAGAGCTTACTGCCTTGACTATAATGTTGTGAGTGGCAGTTGAGGTAGGATGGTCATTTGTCAAAATTATTTTTGATCTGATAATAAAAATAAATTATGTGGGAGACAGAAAATATATTGAGAGGAAAAAAGAATCATTCGTAGTTTTATAACTTAGAAATAACATTCACTAATGTATTTATATTTTATATACTATATAAATACATAGTAGCCATCTAATATTTACTGAACCTTATCATATGCTAGGCACTGTACTAAGCATTTTACATTTATTAACTCATTTAATTTCAGAATGATCTTTTAAGGTAGGTACTATTACCCATCTTACAGGGAGGCTGAGGCATGAGCGTTTAAGACTTTGCCCAAGGCTGCCTCATTAGGAGAAGATAAGGCCAGAATTCAAACCCTAGATTCTTAATTTTACAGCTTCCCTATTACATCTATCATCATAGTGTGGCTGACACAGGAATCGTTTCTGATTAACATTCTCACTATGCAGTGCAGAAACCAAAGATTCATATGATTTTTTTTTAATGATTCCTTTTGTATTTGACTCTTGTTACTTACTAGCAATTTTTGGAACCAGATAGATTCAAATAATGTATCATCTCTTGCTGTCCAAACTCGTAACTGAATTTATAATACATAATGGCACTTATATACACACAAATATATATACATTATATGGATGGATGGGTATGCTTACATTTTAAGAAATTGTTATTGTATACATTTTATAGATTTCATTTCATCATTTACCTGGACTTGATATATAACAAGTTTTTGTCTAAGCCTCTTTGTTGTACGTGCATAAGATTCTCATGTATAATTTTTACCTTTGAGTATAGAAGGAAACAGTACCTAATTTGACACAAAGAAGAGAGGTGACAGGAATCAGAAATTCCTGGTTCTGCTACCGAATCTTACAGTCCTAAAAAATAATCAGCACAATTGCAAATCACAGTAATGCATATCAGAAATTTAATTCCTGTTTGCTGAAATGGTAATGATTAATCCTAATTGGATGCCTACATTTTCAGAAAGATGTGCCGGATGGGGTGAAAGAGCTTTCAGAAGGTTCAGAAGAAAGCAGTGATGGTCAGTCAGATTCCCAGAGTTCTGAAAACAGCAGCAGCAGCAGTGATGGTGGCAGCAACAAGGAGGGAAAAAAGAGCAGGTGGAAAAGGAAAGGTAAATCCACCTGACCCCTCAATAAAAGACTGAATGCTGTAGGATAAATGCCCTTGTTAATAGTTTTTCTTTTTCCAGACCCCAGGTCGGTTATTCTCTTTCCCTTACTAGTTAGGTCAGTACTGTCCCATGGAATTTCCTGCAGTGATGGAAGTGTTCTGCAGCTATGTTGTGCAACTCAACAAAGTAGTCACTAGCACCATGTGTGTTTTGAGCACTTGAAATATAGCTAGTGTGACAGAGGAACTGAATTTTTCACTTTATGTTAACCTGAATTTAAATAGCCACATGTGGCTAGTGGCCATCACATTGGACAACATGGCTCTAGGTTTTTACCTGGGTTTATTTTCAGCTCTTGGCTACCTATAACCCTTCTTAGGATGGTATTATGTTATTTACCTCTTAATACTCTCTTTGAAAATTTGAGGGCTTAATTGGTTTAACAGCTCACTCCTTACTAGGAAAAGAATGCTTTTCGTTTCTACTAGCAAAGACTAAATTTAGTCTGCCAGTCTTTGCCCTCATCTCCTGCTTGGTTTCTGCTTTATAGTTTACCCCAAACCGTGTTTTTAGAGAATAACATCTTTGTTGCTACAGCTTCCCTGGGATGAATTTTCCACTTCGAGATACATTTTATTACCTAGTCTTGATAATTATCTGTAGCTTCTTTTTCAAGAGTCTTTTTGAAGAGGGAAAATCATTTTTACCCCAGTATTGGTAAATTGAGCCATATATGGCAGGACAGATTTTAAGCCAGCTCATGCTGGTTACTTTATAAGGACTGATGCCAGAGCAAAATAGACATCCAAGAATTTCCCTAGCTTGGATATCCTCTTAGGTTTGAGTTATAGGTGAGTTGTCTTTGGATCTAGAATTTAGAGTTACACTTATTAGAATAATTGACTCAGTTTTAAGTGCAGCAGACCTATTGATTTTTGAACTGCATCAGAAAAGTCATCAGGTTTATTACCATTTCTGTGTTAATGTATGGACTACTTTTGGAGAAAATTTAGATAACTGGTTGCGTTATCTGAGTTCTCTCATAACAGCTGCTACACATGTTATTTGGACAAATTTTGAAACCAGGGGATCTTAGCTTTAAGATCACAACCACTTAGAGAACAGCCCAGACCCTAAGTGTTATGAACAAATGGAATAAAGGCAAGACAAGATTGGGACCTGTGACCAACATTCCTTTTTTTCTTTTTAAAAAAATCTCTTTATTTACTTGGCTGCGTACGGTCTCAGTTGTGGCACACGGGATCTCTGCTGTGGTGTGTGCACTCTCCAGTTGGGGAGCGTGGGTTCCAGAGTGCACTGGCTTAGTTCCCTGATCAGGCACTGAACCCACATCCCCTGCATTGCAAGGCAGATTCTCAACCACTGGACCACCAGGGAAATCCTGAGTGTTCTTGATATGTATTTTTTAAAAGTAATCCCAGTCAGTAGTGAAGAGAGGTGTGTCCAGGGTCTTACATTTCTCAGATTATACTAAAGGACCACCCCATCCCCTTTTTTTTCTGTTATTTTTTTGGAAGATGGAGCCAAAAGTATTTAGGCCTTTTTGTCTCCTCTGCTTCCCCCCAGTTTACATTTTTCTTTTTAAGTTTGGGAATTTGTTGATCTAGGATTAGAAACCAAACCAGGTCATCAAGCAAGAGAAACAGATTCATAATTTCTGGATGTGGCTGGAAACAGGGAAATCAGCATTAAAGGTGGTCAGTAAACTGGGAACAAAGTCACGGTTGTGTAGGTCTTTGCTTTTTGGTAGCTCCTAGGCTGCAGTAGCTGTTTCAGGTAGTGATTGTTATATGTTTGTGAAAGGCTATCTGTGAGGTAAATGTGATTACAGGAGGATTTAAGAAATAACAGTTGAACCCCATTCTCAGTAGCTTCAGTTCGGTCGCTCAGTCATGTCCCAACTCTTTGCGACCCCATGGTCTGCAGCACTCCAGGCTTGTCCATCACCAACTCCTGGAGTTTGCTCAGACTCATGTCCATCGAATCAGTGATGCCATCCAACCATCTCATCCTCTTTGGTCCCCTTCTCCTCCTCTCAGTAGCTTAATAGGTAGATTAAAATATTACAACCTTGCCCCATACTTGGCATAATAATAGAAGATATTAACATCAAGGTTATAGCAAATTGAAAATTGTAGTCAACATAAATTATTTTCAAACTGCCTCTGATGCATTCTTCTCGAAATTGTCACAGTATTAACTACTTAGCCTCAGTTTCTGTTGAGATCTTAAGATCTTTTCTGATTGTAGCCTGTTAAACTGAGACTAGGATGAACTTCATGTGGTATTTGGAAGGTGGAGATGAGAGGTGTATGTGATGTCATATGGAATTCACATTGACTCTGGCAGCTCTGATAGTCTTAAGAAATGGATGAATGCTAAGCTAGCAATAATAAAGAATGATTTAGTCTCTCATAGGATGTACTTCTCTCATTCTTGGGTCATGCATATGGCATAGGCATAGAAATGTATTTTTAGTTTTCTATTGTATACATATGAGTGTTTTTGTAGTCCAGTGCAAAGTACAGTGGAAAACTTGTAGTTAGCAGTGATAGTAGTAGTGTGCTGCAGAACAATTCTAAGTCAATTGCATTTATTAATAAAGGTAAAACAAATGTGTGTCTATTCCTTTTTCTTATTCTAAAGCTTTTACTCTCAATCTGACATCACTTTATTTCAAATGCATTGTAAGACAGGAAGAACACTGAGATAGTATCAAAACCCACTTCCTTTTATGTACAAAAATAAAGAGCTCTGACAGCAAAACTGATACTTCTAGTTGGAAATCGATAGAGACTCTCTTGAAATAGGTATACTTTTCAGCCGGATAGGAACAGAGAGTAGAACCTTGAAATTCAGTCAAATGTTAAAACTAGTTTATTGATTTCTGTGTAAGGTGGAAGAACTTAGAAGTTTGTAGTTTTGGTTTCTAATTTCCAGACAGGAAACAATGTTCAGAGAAGAGCTTTATGGAATTCCAAGTCAAGGTAAGATGGAATAACACCAGAAAAATGATTAAAATCAACATTTTCTGTTGCTTTTTTGGTAGGATTGTATCTACGTGAAGTCTGCCTTTTCCCTAAAATACAATATTGCGGCATGAAATAGCTACATGTGTTATTGTTTTTATCTTCTGGTAAAATTATTTATTATTATTATTGTCTTTATATATTTTTAATAATAAAATTATTTTTATTATTAATTTGTGAAAATTAAAACTCTCTCTTAAGAGAAGTATTGCTCTTTTTGATCATGAAAACGATTTGGGGAACTTTAATTGTTATCAGTCTTTCAATGATTAATCCTTTAACTGTATAAAGCTCAGTTTCAATTTTGATATTACTGCTCCATTATTTCTGATAGTGTCTTTAATACTTCAGAGGGTCTCACTGAATATCTTCAGGAGAAAAAATAAAATACTAAGAAATTATTTACTAATTCTTTTTAATTCAAATGCATCTAATATGAATAGTCCATTACCCTTTGGACCTTGTTCCATATGATAATCATTTGTTGAAATGGAAAACTCCCAATGCTATATTGAAAAGTGGTACCTTCTGAGCTTATACCCAGTGGATGGTACAGATGTATCCACCAAGCTGAAACTACTTCAGTAAACTATATAAGTAAAACTGGCTTTAATGAGCCTCAAGTTGTAAATCACTTTGGAAAGCTGGCTTCTCAGTATATTATAGTTGAACGTGCATTAGAATCACCTGGAGAGCCATTAAGACACAGATTCCTGGGCCCTACCTTCACAGTTTCTGGCTCAGTAGAGTTGGGTTGGGATCCAGTAATTTGCATTTTTTAGATAGTGATGGTATCATTCTTGGTACAGTACCTTAGAAACCAGTGTTTAAGACAGTTTAGTAATAAGAGCAAAAGACTATAAATTACTAAACTACTCATCAGTCCAGTTGAAGAAATTATGATACATCTGCACAGTGGAATTTTATGTAGCTATTAAAAGGAAGATCATCCTTCAGTCTTTGCCTCTGTCTTCACATGGACTTCTCTGTATCTGTCTTGTGTTTAAGGTAACTCATCATTTGATTTTAAGACCCACTGGGATCATCCAAGATGATTTCCTTGTCTCAAAATCAATTATATCTGCCAAGTCTCCTTTTCCAAATAATATAACATTTCTGGGGGTTAGAACATGGACATGACTTTTGGTGGCCACCACTTAACCCACTACAAGTACTCAATCTTCTGAAACTATGCAAAGTTCAAATGTTGGTTGTGCTCCTTACTACCTGAGTCCTTTTGCAGGCTAATTAAATTTCTAGATAAGGAAATTTTAGATAATACCATCACAATATGCAGGTGTTTACATTTAATATTTATATATAAATACACATCCTTGAAATTTTTCATATTTTTATTTGCATAAAAGATGTCAACAAGGATACAAATCCAACTATATTATTTTGTTATCTCAGAGGGTAGAATTGGAGGAGATTGGGTGGGAGTAGAAAGAGAAGTTGTACCTACCTTATTGTTCAAGTCGCTAAGTCGTGTCCAACTCTTTGCAGCCCCGTGAACTGCAGCACGCCAGACTTCACTGTCTCCCAGAGTTTGCTCAGATTCATGTCCATTGAGTTGGTGATGCCATCCAACCATCTCATCCTCTTCTCTTGCCCTCAGTGTTTCCCAGCATTATGATCTTTTCCAATGAGTCGGTTCTTTGCATTAGAGGATGATTATAAGAGTTCAATGAAATTCTGTTCAAATGAACCTAGCACAGCATTAGGCACATGATGTTTAATTTTTGGTTACTCTAATAAAGTTAATGTGTCTTAGAGACAGCGTAGGCACTAGAAGGATTAAAAGAGATGAGTTTATAAACGTGTTTAAATCATGTTTGCTTTTTGTAGTTCTGAACCTTTAATATTTAAAAGTTTCATTAAAGTTGTGAGACCAGTATTTGGCATTAAGTCAACTGGGAGATTTTCCTCATTGGTAGGTCCTGGAATTTTCTTGATTCATTTTAGTTGGCTTCAAGATATGTTTATGGATTCATTTGCTAGAAAGGGCTTTTGCCTTAAAGGGAAACATTCCAAAGTTTTGCCCTGGTAATCACAGATAGCTTTATTGTCTGTTTTCCAGGCCACAGTTAGAATTCTTGCATTCCTTAATGGAGTCATTTTGGTTGGTTTGTTTTCTGTTTATTTTTAGATATTGGGGCAGTCGAGGACATGTATATTCTCAGATTTCTGCAAACCATTAAAAAGAAAGTAAATATAGTTAAATATTAATAGTTTTTAGCTTTATTTTCATAATGTCCATTAAAAACATTGGTCAAATCAAGAAGACAGACAATAACAAGTGTTGACAAGAGTGTGGAAAAATTGGAACACTTATACATTTCCGATGGAATTGTAAAAATAGTGCAGCCGTTTTAGAAGTCAGTTTAGGACTTCCTTAAAAAGTTTAAACAGAGAGTTACTGAAAAACCCAGCAATTTCACTTTTAGATATGAACCAGGAGAGTTGAAAACATATGTCCAACACAAAATTCTGCTAATGAGTGTTCATAATGGTCAAAAAGTGAAAATGGCCCAAATGTCTATCAGCTCATGAATAACAAAATGTGGCATATGCATACAGTAGAATGGATAAAGTATTGATACATGCTGAAACACAGATAAATCTTTAAAACACTCATTTTTGTTAAAAAAAAAAAAAAAAAAGCCCATCACTAAAGAGGGAAGTGAGTTAGGGGGAAAGAAGAGTGACAGCTAACCAGTACAGGATTTTTTAATGGGTGATGAAAATTGATTCTGATGATGGTTCACAACTTTGCAAATATTTTAAAAGCCGTTACATTTTACACTTCAGGTGAATTTTATGGTATAGGAATTGTATCTCATTGAAACTGTTGTTTTAAAAAATTGGTTAGCATCTGAGTGCACTAAGAATTTAGTTTCTTTTTGTTGCTTAAACATCTCAAGAATTATCCAACTCCATTTTTTGTTTTATATGTTACAATTAATGTGGTTTTGTTTGTTTGTTTTTTTAAACACCACACTTTCTTTCCCATATATAACCCCTCAGTAAGGGCTGGGATACAAAGCTGAAGTCAAGTATGATGAGTCTTCTTAATATTGTCTACTGTTGTCGTCATTTTTGTTTTTGAGTCTGAGTCAGTGATTTCTTTATTATCTTGTATCATAAATTATACACTGTCAAACTTTAGAAATTGTGTTTATTATAAATATAGACCCTTGCTAGGGGAAACCCCTCACGCAATACTGAGGTTTGGCTAAGTCTGATAAAACAGCTAGTGATGATTATATGAGAGTGGTTCCATCCTATGTATACCTACACTGACTCCATCAGAAGTTCTAAAGCACCCTTGCACATGGGTAGACCTAAAACTATTGATGTCAGAGTTGAAGGAATATAAGAATTAGAGAACGGTAGTGTTTGAGGTGGAATGACCTTATTGCCTTCATTTTAAAGATAGGGGAAACTGGAACCCATTCTATCAATCCAGTGCTCTTCCACAATATCATGTTGTTACTAGATTTACCTTAAGGACATACATACTGTCCAGTAGGTTCTAGAATCTTTTCTAAACTTTACCTTAGTTGATGACTTACGGTTTATATTCTGCTTACTGCTTCTTCAATCCTATTGAAAAAATTAAAGAATTAGAAGTGATGAATACTAACATTCATCCCTTCCCCATCATATCATCCTTTACTAGAGCTTTCTGAGGAAATAAACTTGAAAAGGGAGGCTGTTTGCAGTAGAACTCCAAAAAGAAGATCCTTCCCAAAAGTGTTTGGTCACAGTTCTTAATACAGGTAGCACTGTGTGATTGGGAAAGAAATGATGCTTGATATCGCCTCTGATAACAAAACTTGGAATTGTCATTTTTCTCCTCCTAGTATCATCTAGGCTGTCACAGCCATCTTCTCCTCATTCGGGCTGCCCATCTCCTACCATTCCGGCAGGTAAAGTCATTTCTTCATCACAGAAGCACAGCAAGAAGGCACTAAAGCAGGTAACCGTGCTGTTCTGTTTACAGACGTGTCCTCGCGCGCATTAAAAAGGCGTGCTGCTGGCAGTCAGTAACATTAAGTCCTTTTAAGGAAAAATTTTGTACAGTTTCCCAATTTGTTTTTAATAATTTATGCACCTCTGTGTTACAGCTTTGTCATAGATACTCTTTTTAATCACATTTTAAAAGTTCCTCATTAGTTTCCAATTTGCTATGAGGGGTGTGTGTGTTACAAGTAGGTACTGTGTGTGTGTGTGTGTGTGTGTGTGTGTGTTGCAGGTAGGTATTGAATTTTTTCAGATTGATTTTTTTTCAGCATTTATTAAGACGATCAGGTAACTTTTTAAGTCAGCCAGTATGCAGAATTCCAGGGCTAAATTTTCTAATGTTAATCTATAGTTAACTCTCTGGAATAAACCCTGTTATGTTTGTTACATCATTTTTAATATATTAGTGGAGTTTTCTCTAAGTTTAGCTTAGATTTTGTTATATTCTTGTACCATCTTTGTACAATTTTGGAATCAGGATTGTTCTTAGCATCTATTAAGTTCTGTATCTCTCTATATTTTTCTAGACGGTGAAAGTCTTGCAGATCTTACCTTTTACTGCTAGGGCGTTTGAATTTCATTTAGTACTACTCTTGATTTCTGATTCTTTTAGCCAATTTTGGAAGTTTATTTTTCTTAGAAAATGGTCTAGTTCACTTGATTTTTTTGGTCAAATATTGGTATAAAGTTGAACATAGTATTTTTTTGTGTTTTTCTTTTGTTCCTCAGTGTTCTTCGTTTATAATGTATCTTTTCTCAGTGTTACTTGCTGGCTATTTTACTGGGCTTTTCAAAGAACTAGCTTTTCATTTTTTTGAAATGCAAATTATCAATACATAAAAATATGACTAATTAAGAACACAGACCACTTCTATCCTTAGATTAGTATATATATATAATAGAGCTTAATTATAACATAAAGCACTGTCAAGTATGTGGGAAAATGACTACTTGTAGTTTGCTGATGGGATATAAATTATAGCTATTTTGGAGAAAAATTTTATAACATTTATTAAAATTTTAAGTGCACATACCCTATGACTAAGCACTTAAATATTTGGAAACTTATCTTAGAAAAATGCATGTATTCATACACAGAAAAATGTTTGCATTAAAGTTTGTAATAGGAAAAATTTACAAGTAGAGATACATACATGAATTACTTCATTAACAGTGGCATATCCATACGCTAGACAATTATACAGGATTAAAAGTTTACTTTGTAATGAAATTGTTCTGCATAGACATATAAACATCACCACACTATAATGTTTAATCGTTAAAATTAAGATGTGTTACAGCACTTATTAAAAACATACATATATATCTGACATACATACCCAGAACAATAATATATTTTAATAGAAATATGAGTATGTATATATGTACCAACACACACATATAATGTAAGTGTAGAAGAAGCTCAATAAGGAGATATAAGTTGATGGCTATAACTTGTTACCTTAATCATGACATAAAAACTACTCTGTATTATTTCCTTTTGATCTCAGGAGTCAGATACTGTATTTTCTTCAAAGAATATCAATATGGGAAATTATGTAAATTAGATTGTTGATATGTAAAGTAAGGTTTTGCCTCCTGTGTATGTTTTTATATTATTAAGTGAGAAAACTTACTTCAGTATGAGTTATCCTTTACCACAGTGAAGTTTTTTAAAATTGTTTGTTTTTAAATTTTAAAATAAAATTAGGAACAGGGTTTGTATACTACTGAGGGAGGGGGAAACTGCAGTTCTTAAAACAGAAGCTGTAAGTTATTTCCTTTTTTATCTTACATCTGAATGTATGTGATCATAGCAGAAATAGATAAGATCAAGTAGCTCTATTAAATTTCGGATTAACCTAGAATGACCTACATACCTCGAATAGAAAGAAATAAATACTAGTTGCTGCCACACAGGAAGCCTGCAAACATTTTGTATTCTGATTGTGAAGAATGAGAGATAAGCTGTCATCAGTGATCAGACAAAACTGACATTATGTTTCTGCCTCACCTATTATAATGTTATAGGTGAAAAGTAAGCCAGATACCAGAGACTCTGAGTATTCTTTTCTCCACTGACAGTTTAGATCAAGGAAATCAAGTGTTGCCACTGTGCCTATATGGCATAGCCAGAACTGCATGTGAGTGTGAAGTAGGAGAAAACCTTATTGTGAAGAAAGAATCGGAAACAAGTAGGCAGTTGGTTTTTCCACACTTTTCTACATGATGGTCTTGAAACTTTAAAGCTTAAATTGACATTTTACTGAGGTCATAGATATTCAGCCTTTTCCTATGTAGTTTTAGTTTCCTTGTCTTTTTTTTTTGTTTTTTAAGCTCTTGAAGTAAACAGTTGCCTTTATGTATCTTCATGATTAAAACCTGGGAAGCTCTTTATTTTTCTGTTCTTTCTAGTTTAGTATATTCTATAAACTAAGAAAATTATAGAAATTAAAATATTCTGAAGTAACCAGAAGGAACCACACTTCTTATTAATAGAACCAGTGTTTTCTAATCTTCCCTCCCTTCAGTTTACCACATTGCTATAAATTGCTTTAAATCACTGAGATTCATTTGATCATTGGGCCAAATCTTACTGCTCAGACACAAGACCAAATTCAAGTAGTCATTTACTACTTTTTGTTCAACTGCAGCACCTCGAAGCATACATAAGGGAAATATTTATATTTCTAGATAAAGTTGATACAAATGAGAACTGTTCTTGGTTCAGGGCTTAGAATTCTGTTTTCAGAATGATCAAAAGTATCTAATTCTCTGCTACTACAAGTTTGAGAAATCCATGGCTTATTGGTGATTTTTAAGTTCTAAAAAACGTTAATGACAGTTTCTCAGATTTATATACAGGAGAACATTGGTAAAAGAAAAAAAATCCAAATTTTAAGGCTCATTTAGGCCTGTGTTTAATTAGTTTAATTGAGATTTTTGTTTACTTGGATAGATTTCACAGAAATTGTATAGTCAGCATGGTCCTCACCACTTAAAATGTCATTTATTATTTGTTATTACTGAAAACTGATTTGTTTTGTTTCTTACAGTCAGTTTTCTCTTTCTAGGCACTAAAACAGCAACAACAGAAGAAACAGCAGCAGCAGCAGCAATGCAGGCCAAGCATGTCCATCTCCTCCAACCAGCACCTCTCTCTAAAGACTGTCAAAGCATCCAGTGATCCTGTACCTGCTAAACCTGGTAGGCAGACCGAGTGTCTCTTCAGCGAAAGTTTCTTTTCCAGTATTTTTGTATACCAAACTCATATAGTCTGTTATTTATTTGTAAATTATTGTATTTATTTACATAATCCTTATACTGCCAGATCCTCAGTATAAATCCTTCTAGGGTAAATGGGGAAATTTATGCAGAGTAATCATACAGTTATTTTAAAGTACATCATTGGGATTTGCATGTTAGAATAGGATCAGTGACTCATTCCCAAAATGTCTAACGATAATATTTGGAAGCCTCCAATTAGTAAAGCTGATGTTTCCAAGTTGCTCAAGCTGAACTCTTCACAAGTTCTCTCCTTGAAAAATACAAATCTTTCCTAAGAGTACATAATACCTTTGAGTTTCCATTGGACATATCCACGGGCCTTTGGATTTTCTGTTATTGCTTATTTTCTTTTAAATTTAAACTGGTTGAGGTATAGGCTTTTTTATTACACAGTTCAGTTCAAGGCCAACTTATTTATGGGTTTGCCAGATTTAAACCATGTCTTGTAGAACTTTACATTTTTGTTAGAAAGGAAATATACTACTAGAAGCAAATAATGTGCTGGGAGGAAGAAAGGGATTTTATTCACTTTTGACTCCTAATTCTCAGACTCAGAACACATTTGCAGAGTCACATTGCCTCAAACATAACTCCTTTTGGTTTGTTGTTCAGTTGTTTAGTCACATCTGACTGTTTGCAACCCCGTGGACTGACTGCAGCATGCCAGGCTTCCCTGTCCTTCACCATCTCCTGGAGCTTGCTCAAGCTCATATCCATTGAGTCAGTGATGCCATCCAATCATCTCATCCTCTTTCATCCCCTTCTCCTCCTGCCTTCAATCTCTCCCAGCGTCAGGGTCTTTTCTAAGTCGGTTCTTTGTATCAGGTGGCCACAGTATTGGAGCTTTAGCTTCAGCATAAATGTGTCTAATAAATATTTAGGATTGATTTCCTTTAGGATTGACTGGTTTGATTTCCTTGATAACCTTTTGGTTAGCATTGTATGATTTAATTGTTCTTTTGATTGATTAGTTTCTATCTGTAACTTCAGGGTTATATATTTTTTCCCCTAGCAATATGGGAAGGAAAGCAATCTGATGGACAGTCAAGCAGCCCTCAGAATTCAAACTCTAGCTTTTCTTCTTCTTCGGTTAAAGTGGAAAATCATTTGCTGGGCCTGGGGAAGAAGTCATTCCAGAGGTCTGACAGGCTCCACACAAGTAAGTTACTTTACTTTACTCAGTTCTCAGACATTAAATTGTCAACTCTGTGTTTGAAAATCATTACCTGCCAGGCTTAATTGCTGCTTCCTGTTCACCTTTGAGCTCTTGACTATTTTCATGTTCTTCCTTTCCTGCGTATCAAACTTCATTTCAGAATAAGATCTGTTATCAGCCTTTTTGTGGTTTATTTTTCTTTCTGACAAGGGGTTTCTTTATCCAGCATTATTTATATTTTATCTCTGTATACATGGAAGGGCTTATAATTGAACATGGCAAACTGAACCACTTTTCCTGTTCCAAGTCCCACTAAAGCAAAAATATGGAAAAACAAAAGATTAAACCCTTAAGAGTAAAGAAAACAAGAAGATAACAGATGGACAGGCAACATCACCAAATTTTGAAAGATAAAAACTGGATAGAGTTTTTCACAGAGCTGAGGAGCAGGTGCCAGTAGGAAGCAAGCCAGCTGAGCCTGTAGAACTCCAGAAGGGTTTAAGAATTGGAGATACCTTGTCTTAGAGAAGATGAAGCATAGGGTTGGAAAGAAGAATCTTCTTTAAAAGTTAATAAGAAACAGTTTGATGCCTTTGCTTAGCAGGATACAAGAGGTTTATTTTGAGGTGAAATTAAACCTTACAGACTTTAAATTTAGAGACACCACACGTAACAGATGAGGAGGCAGTGTACTGGAATCAGGGATATGAAGTAAAACACAAATACTGAATAGTGATCCTCCTGCTTATAGGTGTCCAGAATGTTAGTAGTGGGGCATGCTTCTATCTCTGTCACTTTGTTCCTCCTCCCCACCTAAGCATCAGCAGGAGATGGGGGGATTGGTACTTAAAGAAATTGAATAGCCTAAAAAAAAAAAAAAAAAACTGCGCCAGCAAATTTATTGATTGCCAGATAAAAGAGATCATCTGGAATCTATTTCTGTGCAGTTCACTGGTCTACAAGATATACCCCAGCACCAGAATTTTCAGTCAGTCTTCTAGGATTTGTTACTAGGGATCACCTTTGAAAAAAAAACCTCCATCATGAGAGAATCTGAAATATAGACTCACAAAAGTAGAGATAAATCAGGAAGGAGAAAATGTTAAACAAATAACTTTAAAAGCTATGGTATTCACAGAAAGACATAAAAATGATGTCTCATCCATGAAAGAACAGAATAATACTGGTTTAAAAATCAGAAAATAAAAGAGTTCCAGGATATTAGATACTATGGGAGCAGAGATAAAAAATTCTAGTAGAAGTACTAAAAGTTAGAGGTTGAAAAATTTCCTAGAACATAGGTCAAAGGAGAGATTGAAAATGAGAGAGAAGGTAAAGTAGGAACATGAGTCTAGCCTGTCCAATGTCTTAAATAGTGGAAATGTCAGAAAGAAAGGCCAGAAATTGAAACGGGGGTAATAATGCAAGAATACAAGAAAAATAATGTGAGAAAATTCTGTAGAATTGAAAGCCACAGATTCCATTTATGTTTTAAACTGTGTTCTCAACTCCATCAGTGTCTAGAAAGACTGAAACCTTCCTATTGTGAACAGACTTCCTGTAACTGCTAAGCTGTTCATTGGTAACATTTTTAGCTGATACAGAGAAAATTGATGAAAATAATTATGGGAAGAGAAAAAGAGCCTCGATGTAATTTATAGAGATATTTGAATTTTCCACTTTTTAGTCATTCTGTGTATGTGTTAAATTTATTATAAACTACCTCAATCCCATTGGGGAAATGATCAAATCTCAAACATAAAATGCATTTTTTAGTATGGCAAAACATTCACTTTTACAGACTTTATTCCAGTTTTGCAGGGTAAGTAACATTTTTTTTTAATCTTTTATGAATGAACAAAACTTGCTTTGTTTATTTCTAAGAACCTTAAGTGTTACCGTCTTCATAGTGTGATACCTTAAAGTAATGACAGCCATGGCTTTTTTGCACTGCAGAGCAAGGTATAGTTTAGAAAGACACAGGAATGTGAAGAAGGCGCAGGTGATTCTTCTCCACGTTTTTACAGGGCAAATGAAGAGGACTAAATGTGCTGAAATTGATGTTGAGACGCCAGACTCCATTCTGGTTAATACAAACCTACGAGCGCTAATCAACAAACACACCTTTTCAGTCCTTCCTGGAGACTGCCAACAGCGACTGCTTTTACTACTTCCAGAGGTGGATCGACAGGTGCGTTCTTTCAAGCATATCAGCAGTTTTCTAACCCTTCTGGGGCTTCCTTCAGCCATCGCCTTTAGAACTTCTTAAGATTTTTAAAATGGTTTTTGTGTGTACATGTAAAGGGTTGATGCTGAAGCCGAAGCTCCAATACTTTGGCCACCTAATGCAAAGAACTGACTCATTGAAAAAGACCCTGATGCTGGCAAAGGTTGAAGGCAAAAGAAGAGGGTGGCAGAGGATGAGGTGTTTGGATAGAATCAGTGATTCAGTGGACATGAACTTGGGCAAACTCCAAGACATAGTGAGGGTCAGGGAGGCCTGGTGTGCTGCAGTCCATCGGTTCACAAAGAGTTGGACACGACTTAGTGATTGGACAACAACAAAATCCAAAATAGGTTGTAGTCCTTAATAAAACTAAGTGGTACCTAGCAGAAACACTAAAGGTTTGGAAGAATCTTGGCAGGGACCAGAGAAATTTAAGTTGGTCAGGAATAAGGCATAGGTCTGAAACTTTCATCGAGGAAGGAGGAGTGACTAGCAAGTCATTCTCCCTTTTGATCTTCTGTTTCCTCTTCTGCAAAAGATTCATTATGATTTTGTAAGGTTTTTTCAATTCTGTGGTTTCTTTAAAAGATCAGTTATTTCCAAGTATGTACTATGTTCGAAGCAATCTGTTAGGCATTCCACTTTTTTCTAATCATTTAAAAACAGGATGAGAGAGATTTGTTTTACCTGTATTATAGTAAAAGAACTAGATATGTCCTCTAGTTTGTAGTAAGAGATTATAAGTAAGCTATACAGATCATTATAGCTATTTGACTATAAAGTCAAAACTAAATCTTTCTCATTCTGAAAATCATCTTTCTACTAGACTATATTGATACCAGTTTTTATATTGCTATGAATTAGCATGTGTGAAAGGTCAGATTCCATTTCTGGGGAGTCAGATAAGTCAGTGTAACACAAGCAGTAGGGACAAAGAAGTAATATGGATCCTTCCCAGCTGTTGCTCTCCCTACCTTAACATTTCTTGGAGAAATTACAGCTTTTGGGATCCCCAGTTCTTGGTTAGAACAAGTAAGGAGACTGAAGTTTGGGGAGAGTTTTTAAAGAACTTCTCTTCTTGCCTTGTATTGTTTTCATCATTTTAAAGACTCAAGTTTGTTAGGTTGGGGCTAATAACACAAGACCTAATAGAGGGTCTATCTGTAGAACTTTATTGTGGGTTCCTCCGAACTGTCTTTTGACTAATGGTCCTTGTCCTCTGTTATCGAGGGTCCTGCTATGTTCAGTTTTGGAATTAAAAGGCACCTTAGAACTTATCAGCTTTCTGTTGAGTGCAGTCCTGTTGTGTATTCTTAATAGAAGGCTATTTGACTGTCGTTTTCAGTTACTGTGGTGGGAGGGCACGGTAATCTGAGAATAGGGAGTATGGAATTTATTAATGAAATTATTAGTGAATGTATTAGTGATTCTCCTTCATTGTCAGATGAAATTTGGAGTTTATCCAAAATTCTGGTTATTGTTAGCATGAAACATTGGAAACCATATTTCAGTGTATGTAGTACCCAACAATGTAGAGTAGGAAAGCATTATTTCAGCCAGAGGAAAGACTAAGGAAGGAGTGTGGATTAAAACACCTCTCTTCCGATACATTTGAAGGTCTGTCTATGGAACAGGTAAACTTTGTTTCTCCAGGAAACAAATTTGGAGTTAAAATAACCTTTTAAAAAAATAGAACTATTAAACTGTAGAATGGACTGACTTGTTTTGGAGTAACTTGCTCAACACTGGACTATTCAAGGAGATGCTGAGTGACCTGTTCTCATAGGAAAGTCAGTTACTCCTCTGCCAAATCTATAGAATACAAAGCAGCAGTCAGCAAACTTTTTAGCATGCAGGTCATTTTCAGCCCACTGCCTCTTTTTTTTTTTTTCTTTTTGCCTCTTTTTGTAAATAAAGTTTTATTGGTACTCAGCTGCTTCAGTTAGTTTCTGCATATTATCTATAGCTACAACAGAGTTGAGCTGTTGCAACAGAGGTCATATGACCTGTCTGTCTTCTAACAGAAAAAGTTTCTGCTCTAGAGCCAGAGGAATATCATCCTGACCCAGATAAATTTAGAAAGTAAAGTGAGTTGAGTTCCTTAATCCCTAAGATGTCCCAATAGTTACCTAAATTTTCTTCAGAACTTTGTGACTTTAAACTTAAAATTAGTCTGTTAATCCATCAAGAATATTTTTTATATTGCTCTGAAATTGTGGTTCAGTTTTATTTTCTACTGACTAGATGGCCAGCTGTTCCAGCACTACATGTTTATATAACCATCCTTTTTCTCTCAATTTGAATTACCATCTCTGTTATATATTCTACAAATTTACATGCAGTATGTATTTATAGGCGCTCTTCTCTTTCACTCATTTCTTTGTTCACTCTAATGCTAGTAATAAGTGTTTTGATTGCAGTGAGTTTGTGTGGTATGTTTAGTAATTAGAAAGGCAGTTCCCCTCTCAGTTTTCCATATAAATTTTAAATTCATTTTATTAATGAAGAATCTGCATAGGGATTCTGGTAGGACTCTAAATGTTACCTCTGAGAGAATGGCGGTTAACAAAATCACAAATGTAAAGAAGAATCTTAAAACCTTTTGGCATGACATCACAAATCAAGTCAGTAGACAAATACCTTCAAATTATGTGGCTGTTTTACTGTGTATAACATGCAAAAGATTCTCACAAGATAAAGATAAGGAGGCTTATTGAATAATGAGCAAATGATAGGAATTGGCATTTCACTAGATGGCAAATCTAAGTAGTCAAAAAATAACCAGAAAGATAGACAAAACTAGTAGTCAGGATACAGGAAATTTTTATCATTTCAAACTCATTAATAGAAGTTAAATAGTGTGTTAATATCTCTTGTTCACAAGATAAGGAGTATGCGCATATATTTCTAGTAGAAATGTGAATTGTTTTAGCCTTTTAGAAAATAATCTAACAGTCTTTAGATATATACACACACAGATATTTATTTGCTTTCAAAACCTGTCCCATAGATAAAAAGAACTATTATATTCATCTTTACTGGAATGCTTATTGCAGGTTTGTTGATTATGGGAAAACACTGGAAGCAAAGTGTATGTTTATGATTAGGAAATTGGTACATGAATTGAGGGACATTCATACAATGAAATAATCTGAAGCTATTATAGTGGAGCTAAAACTATGCCAGTTGACTTTGAATTTTGTGAGAAATTGACTTTGTATTATATGAGAAAATAAGAGAGGTAGTGTGTGTAATTTGTCACAGTTTTGGAAAACAATAAACTTTTTAGAAAAATCCTCTTATATATGTATTTATTTGCAGAAGATTCTTTAAGTATAATTAATCAATAGGGAATAGAATTGAAAGAAGAAGAGATAAACAGGAAAGAAATTTTTTAGAAAAAAAACAATATTACATTATAAAATAGAAGTATCCATAATCAGCATGGTGTGATTTAATGTTGTTTCTGTAAAATTTAATGTACACACATTCTTTTCTGAAAAAGACAGGAACATCAAATTCCACATGTTAACATTTGGTTTTCTTCCTGAGCTTTCTGTGGCTTATTCTTTGACCCAGGTTGGTCCAGATGGTCTGATGAAGTTAAATGGCTCAGCGCTTAATAATGAGTTCTTCACTTCAGCAGCCCAAGGCTGGAAGGAAAGACTTTCAGAAGGTAAGTGTTCAACTTTATGTGCCTCCTAGAATGTGTATGCATTAGAGGGGGGCATGTTGGCAGCTCTGAGCCTCAGTGGGTATTTGCCCAGTTCTGGAAGGCAAAGGACAGAACGTTTTCATAGAGAAGAACTACCTATTCTATGTGAAATACATTGCTAGACTTTTATCTAGAGCATGTAACCAAATTTGGCTCCAGATGGAGTTCAGCAAGATGTTTCTTCAAGGGTTTAAAGTTACCTGGGAAACTGAAAATATACAGATTTTTAGGCCCTGTTTCTAAAGATTCTGTTTCATTATTTCTAGCTTCATGCCTGGCAGTTGAAATTTTAATAAACAGAATATAGAATGAGTTATTTCATGGTGTTATGAATCATGGTTTGGTAAACAGTGAGATAACTTCTTTCTCACTGCCCCATATCAATGAAACTAACAGTAAAAAGAATTACTAAGAGCTTTTAAAAAATCTGCTTTATTGAGAAATGTTTTACGTACTATAAAATTAACCCATTCGAGGTGTACAGTTCAGTGGCAGCTAGAGTACTTTAGTAAATACAATTACCAAGAATTCCTAACTGTGGTCACTGGTTTGCCATGTTTCTAATTCTGATCTAACAGTTTTACAGAGGGTAGATTATAAAGCATAAAAAGAGTAATTGACTGTTTTTGCATAGCATGTAATTATCAGTCACTATGAGCAGTTCTTAAGCCTGACTACTCATTATACTCACTTGTGGTATTTTTTTTTATACTGACATCTGAGCCTCACTCTGAATGATTTTTGTTTTGCCTGAGCTTCAGTGGGGTTTTTTTGTTTGATTTTTTTCCCCAAGTGATTCTAATGTTCAGCCTTTATTAAAGCCACTTTTTTTTTAAATTTTTTATTTGGTTTTGGGGTATAGCTGATAAACAAACAATGTTGTATTAGTTTCAGCTGAACAGTGAAGAGACTCAGCCATATATATACATGTATCCATTCTCCCCCAAACTCCCCTCTCATACAGTCTGCCACATAACATTGAGTTCCATATGCTATACAATAGGTCCTTGTTGGTTATCCATTTTAAATATAGCAGTGTACATAACCTTCCCAAAGTCCCTAACTGTCCCTTCCCCCTCAGCAATCATAAGCTGGTTCTCAAATCCCTAACTGCCCCCCCCCCCCCCCACCCCTCGCAATCATAAGCTGGTTCTCAAAGTTTGTGAATCTGTTTCTCTTTTATAAGTTCATTTGTATCATTTCTTTTTGGATTCCATATATAACATGTAACTGTCGAGTTTTCCCAGCACCATTTGTTGAAGAGGCTGTCTTTCCAGCATTGTGGAATCTTGCTTTCTGTGTCATAGATTAATTGACCATAGGTGCATGAGCTTTGGAAAAGGAAGTGGCAGCCCACTCCAGTATTCTTGCCTGGAGAATCCCATGGACACAGGAGCCTGACAGGCTACAGTCTATGGGGTCACAAGAGTCGGACATGACTGAGCAACTAAGAATAGTACAGCATGGGCTTATTTCTGGGTTTTCTATCCTGTTCTGTTGATCTGTGTTTCTATTTTTGTGCCAGTACCATACTGTTTTGATGACTGTAGTTTTGTAGTCTGGTATTATTTTTATTTCAAATACTGTGTTTGTCACTGTGTCAGTACACATAGAATACAAAGTTAACACTTGAAAATTATGGGAGTTTGTGCCAAGGAATAGCTTGTGAAAACAAGTGTGAGAAGCTTTAAAATAAATACAGTTATAAGGGGAGCACTGGGAATGCTATTCATTGCTCACTTTTTGTCAGATCACTGATGGAGCTAATTGACCAGCTAATTAATACCTATATTTTTCCTTATAGTTGTTATAGAAGTGATCACTACAACTGTGTAGAAGGGATCACTTACTGATTACTTTTGACCTTTCTCTTAAAAGATTTCCATGAGCAGAGACCCCATTTTTCTGAAAGAGTCAAAATCACTTGAGCACTTTAAAACATATCTGTTACCAGTACTTTTTTTTTTTAAGAATAATTTAGATTTATGTTCCCTACTCCCCAACTTTTTAAAGTAGATATTATCAACAGTGCTACCTCTATTATTACGTTACTTTTTTTTAATATGATAAGTCACTGCTATACCTATACATGCTATCATATTTTATGAGCAGCAAAAATTTTGAACACTGTACACATGTGAACAGAGTTCAGTACTGTTTAGCCCTCTTTCTATTAAGCCCAGTAGACACAACCAAAAAGCAGAAACTGTGGGTGGATTCTGATGGCTAAATCCCTCTACTCCCACTCATATCCCCAAGACTGTGATAATATTAGATGTCCTCTAACACGTTTCCTTCCCCTCTTCTTATACTTCTAAGACCTAAGAGGTCTTATACTTCAAATCTACTCTTTCCACTTATTCTTTGATGTCCTGGGTATTAGATAATCAACGGGAAACAGCCTGTCTCAGGCACAGGTTTTAAGATGGCCTACCAAGCCATGAAATTAAAAGACGCTTACTCCTTGGAAAGTTATGACCAACCTAGACAACATATTAAAAAGCAGAGACATTACTTTGCCAACAAAGGTCCGTCTAGTCAAGGCTGTGGTTTTTCCATTGGTCATGTATGCATGTGAAAGTTGGACTGTGAAGAAAGCTGAGCACCAAAGAACTGATGCTTTTGAACTGTGGTGTTGGAGAAGACTCTTGAGAGTCCCTTGGACTGCAAGGAGATCCAACCAGTCCATCCTAAAGGAGATCAGTCCTGGGTGTTCATTGGAAGGACTGATGCTGAAGCTGAAACTCCAGTACTTTGACCACCTGATGCAAAGAGTTGACTCATTGGAAAAGACCGTGATGCTGGGAGGGATTGGGGGCAGGAGGAGAAAGGGACGACAGAGGATGAGATGGTTGGATGGCATCACCGACTCAATGGACATGAGTTTGAGTAAACCCCGAGAGTTGGTGATGTACAGAGAGGCCTGGCGTGCTGTGATTCATGGGGTCACAAAGAGTTGGACACGACTGAGCAACTGGACTGAACTGAACTGAACCAAGCACATTCATTGTTCTCTACTGATGGAGTGGGAAGGCTTGAGGTATGGTTGGTAGTATGTGAAAATAAATGGCATATTCAGAGCAGCTGAGTCTTTGGCATATTGTGTCTTGTTGCTAGGGCACTAGACTCATACACTTTCTGGAGCAATTAGAAAACTGACACCTCCAAAAATAGCTCCCTACCTTTACACTGGAACCTCAAAATGTCTTTAAGCAGGGCCGTAGCTGTTCATTATGCTGTTAAAGCTGCTGCTGCTGCTGCTAAGTCACTTCAGTCGTGTCCAACTCTGTGCAACCCCATATACGGCAGCCCATCAGGCTCCCCATCCCTGGGATTCTCCAGGCAAGAACACTGGAGTGGGTTGCCATTGCCTTCTCTGGCTGTTAAAGCTAAAAGGCCTAAAATACAAGTTGTCTGAGAGAAAGTGAAAGCAAAAGTTACTCAATCATGTCCAACTCTCTGCCACCCATGGATTACACAGTCCATGGAATTCTCCAGGCCAGAATACTGGAGTGGGTAGCCTTTCCCTTCTCGAGGGGATCTTCCCAACCCAGGGATCAAACTCAGGTCTCCCACATTAAATAAAACTTAAATAATAAAATGTCCAATGTCATTATTTATTGAAAGCATATGACTTTTTTTCCAGTGGAAAAAAAAAGTTTATAAAGAATCTATAGGGAATATTTGGAGCTGGAAGGGAGTGATACAAAGAAAGCCCAGAGAAAAGCCCACTTAAACTCAACAGAGTACTGGATACTACATGGAGTGGTATGCAAATGTGTATGTTTCAACTTATGGCACTTAGGTAGTTCTCCCTTACAGTGAAGAATTTGGGGAAATTTCTGTTACTTTCAGATGATAGTATTACTCCTTCATGACTCTATCATGATTTACCAGTAGTGGAAAGCTGCAAATAACATTTTCCTATTGAACATCTCTTTTTTTTGGTACATTGTAGGTGAGTTTACACCGGAGATGCAGGTGAGAATTCGACAAGAGATTGAGAAGGAGAAAAAAGTAGAGCCGTGGAAAGAACAATTCTTTGAAAGCTACTATGGTCAGAGGTAATATCAAGAGATTTTGTAAACCAAATGTTAATCCCTATACATATGTCATGTGTTACTCCATCTTACTACCTTCCCAGAAAGTCTAGTCTGCAATTTTCCTCAATTTTTTTTTACCAAGAAAATTTTTTTCTTCTTATAATTCTTAGGTACACAGAATTGGATTTCTTGTAATCTTGTTCTCTTAACACATTGCCATTATAGATGGTATGGTTTCTTAAAAAAAAGAAAAGATTTTATTTTCTAGAATTAGAGTCCTTTCTTTGGATAGATTGGCTTTTTTTCCAGTAACTTTTTAATATATAAGAATATAGAAATTCTATACTTTTTTTTTTTTTTTTTTTTTACTGTAGGCAGTTATCCCACAATAGGATAACTTATCCAGAATCACTAAGGAATCCTATAATACATACCATAATATTAACAGGTGATTAAACAGCCTTTCTTCTCTAAAAGACACTCTGGGAGATACACATAGCTGAATCATGTTTATGATTCAGCTATGAATCATAGCTGATACAGACCCTTTTCTTAAGGCACTGTAGTCTGAGTCTTATTTTTTGCCTCACAGAATCTTAATGGGAGGAATTCCCTAGCAGTCCAGTGGTTAGCAGTCAGCACGTTTACTGCACTAGCACAGGTTCAAGCCCTGGTTGGGGAACTAAGATCCCACAAGCCATGAAGCATCCCGTGCCCCCCTCCCCACACCCAGAAAAAAAAACTTACTGGGGACATTTAATAGACGACAGTGGAGCAGTATTGTTTGAAACAGAATTGAAGACTCATGCCCAGAGTCTGTCTGTCAGTTTCTCTTTCTTCCTTATGTATACCTAATGGCAACCTTTAAGGGTACGCTATAATCATAGCTTGAAAACAAATGGTTCTTTTCCTTACCTCCATGTCCTTATCCCCTTTTGTGGTCATTTCAGAAGTGATTCTTAATGAAATGAAGAGCCCAGTACACTGTTTTTTTTTACCTTCTTTGTGTGATCTTTGAGCTGTTCTACAAAAATCAAAGTGAATACATTTAGACCATGTTCATAGGTGGCAGTTATTCTGTAAATATTGTTCATTCCCTCCTTACTAGGTAGATAAAGTGTTACAGCCATTCTTGGGTCTTTCTGTTTTTAGCTGTTACTTTCTGCCAGCTTTTTGGGAAGGACTACATTTGATTACTGTACAAATTTGTCCTTAGCCATTCCATCTCAGGGGTACAGGACTGATTATTTGAAGTCACCAAAGAGGACTGTCTCATTTCTACTTGTACAATATTCTGAGACATTAGGGGAAATCTGTAGTAAACCCTCCAAGGTAGTCTAGCTGTTAGCCAGGAAGTCCTACTTGGCCTTCATTCCCAAGATAGCTCAGAGGTGCTTAATGTCAAAATTTTAGAGCTATACCAAGTAAAATTTAAATAGGCTTTCCAAAAATTCAGTTTTCATTTTCAACCTGTAGAGATTAGTCAACTCTCCTACTCTCTCCTCTGGGGTTTCCTTAGATTTCTTGGGCCAGTCTTTCTACGGGTACTTCAGAACAAAGCTGTTCAGTTCAGTCGCTCAGTCATGTCTGACTCTCTGCAGCCCCATGGACCGCAGCACACCAGGCTTCCCTGTCCATCACCAACTCCTGGAGCTTACTCAAACTCATGTCCATTGAGTTGGTGATGCCATCCAACCATCTCATCCTCTGTCATCCCCTTCTCCTCCTGCCTTCAATCTTTCCCAACATCAAGGGCTTTACCAGAGAGTCAGTTCTTCGCATTAGGTGGCCAAAGTATTGGAGCTTCAGCATCAGCATATTCAGCTTCAGCATATTCCATTGAATATTCAGGATTGATTTCTTTTAGGATGGACTGGTTTGATCTCCTTGCTGTCCAAGCTGATTATAGTCCAGACCCACAATCCTAAGGGACATGGGTCTTTGGCTACTTTCACTTCTTTGTGGGAAGTCTGTGGTGCATGCCTCTAGACAATGTAGCTCCTTTGTAAGCAGAAGTAATAATAATAATTAACATTACATTGAGGTTTTATTATATCCTAGATACACTGTTCTAAATACTTTACATGCTTTAGTTACTCATCCTAGCAACACTGTGAAGTGATTAGCCTCAATGTACTATTAAAGAAATGAGGTTAAAAAAAAAAAAAAGAAATGAGGTGGTTGGATAGCCTGACCGATTCAGTGAACATGAATTTGAACAAACTCTGGGAGATAGTGAAGAACAGAGAAGCCTGACATGCTGCAGTCCATGGGGTTGCAAAGAGTCGAACATGACTTAGGGACTGAACAACAACACTGTTAAAGAAACTGAGGCAGAGAGGCTAGTCACTTACTTAATATCACATGATAATAGGTATCAGAATCAGGACTTGAATCTAGGTGCTCTAGCTTTCACTAATATTAATAATAGTGATGATAATATATAAAGACTACCTGTTAAGTATCACAGGTTCTTCCAGATATTGCCATATACATTATCTCATAATATATTCAATAACATAGGCGATGTCTCAACTACAGTATTTTTTTCTTCCATCTTTTAGTTCTGGCCTGAGTCTTGAAGACTCAAAGAAATTGACAGCTTCACCCAGTGATCCCAAAGTAAAGAAAACCCCAGCTGAGCAACCAAAATCTACACTTCCTTCAGAGGCCTCGCCTGTCAGTGTAGTCCCAGTAATTCCCCAGTTAGAATCTAAGGAAGAAGTACTGCAGATGCCATCACCAGTCAGAAAAGAAGAACATGAAAGCCAAGATAAGACGCAGCCACACTCCACAGAGCCCCGTCTTTCCCCAGCTACCAATACAGACGAGCTTAGCAGCATTCCTCCCGTCAAGTGCCCGAAGGATGAGGCTCTTGTGGAGCAAAAGCCAGTTGCCTCTGCTGGACAGGAATCTGAGAAAGAGAATCATCTTACTACATCTTCAAATTGTAATAAAAATGAAAGCCAGGAAGCTTTAGTTACAGCCCTGAGCAAACCCAAGAGTCCTGGGGTAGAAACAATAGTAATGAAGCCCACAGTAGAAGCAGGTCCACAGGAGACAACTATGAAAGAGCCTCCATCAGCTCTGGCTGATCACAGCCCAGAAAGCCTCAAGAGGAAATCTTCTCTCACCCAAGAAGAGGCCCCGACAAGCTGGGAGAAGAGGCCGCGTGTCACTGAGCACCGCCAGCACCAGCAGCCATTTCAAGTCTCCCCACAGCCCTTTCTCAGTAGAGGGGACAGGTTCCAGGTGCGGAGAGTGCCACCTCTCAAGGTAAGAGAGCAGGAAGAATTGAAGAGGAGAGATGGTCTGAACAAGTTTTTGGTTTTGCCTACTAAATTTCAAGTGTTTGTGATGTTTCTTAATGTGGAAGCAGTGGTATGTATCTGATATGCATGTAACCATGGTCGTGTATGAGTAAAATTATTCAGAAACAGGCATTTAGAAGTAGATCCTTACAGATCTTTATTGGGATTTGAATAGTTATTCAAATATCTAAGAATCTAATGTAATCCACTTCCACCCACCCTCCCTGCTGGCTACTCCTGTATTTTAAGACAATTATGGAAAGTATTCTGTAAGTATAATAATAAACAGGAGGAGGTCATTGATGTAAGAGATCATGTATCTTTGTATCAAGAGCCATGATGTTTAAGTGTACCTTGACCCTTTTATTGCTGCCATAACTGATTTGATGTTTTGAGTGTTTTCAGACCTAACCATGCATTCAGAATCTCCTCACAAGGTTTTTAGAAATGCATTTTTTCTCTGGGAGTTCTAATTTTTAATTTTAGGGATAGGACTTAGGGCACATATATTTTTTTAAAGCTCTACAAATAAGTATAATGCCAGCAGACAGTGAGGATGACTTCGGTTCACAGTGTACACAATATGTACGTACTCCCTCTTGGGTGGGTGGGGTGGGTTACACATTGTCTTTCTTGTGCTATCCAGTGGCCTCTGTAATTTGAGATAATTCAGCCTGTATGCTTAGCTGTACATTTGTGAGTCTGTAAAAGAGAACAAGAAATTTCCCCTGGACCTCGTAGTAAAGCCAAGAAATAAAAGACAGACTTCCCAGGTGGCTCACTGGTAAAGAATCCTCCTGCCAATGCAGGAGACACAGGTTTGATCCCGGGATTGGGAAGACCCCCCCGGAGAAGAAAATGGCAACCCACTGCAGTATTCTAGCCTGGGAAATCCGATGGATAGAGGAGCCTGGTGGGTTAAAGTCCATGGGGTCGCAGAGAGATGGACATGACTTCGTGACTAAACTTTATTTTTTCTGTTACTCTTCTCGCTTTTACGCACATTTTAAAATGCAGATATCATAGAAAGGTCTGTATCTTAAATGATCAGCTGTTGTGAGTAGTAGTGACATTAAGACAGAGTTGTGTTGAGAAAAGAGCTTTGCGACTTTGGGTGAGAGTGAATGTCAATGGAGGAGAGCCTTTGGCACCAATAGAGGAGGTGAAAGGACCCTAGAGACGGGCCTGTGTGGCTGTCTCCATGGATTGGTCTCTTAGCCACAGGCCTCCCATCCTTGTCATAGTGTTCATCCTATTCTCAGAATTTGTGTTAATGAAGTTTTGTTACTCATATAAAAGAAAGCTAAGTTGTTTTTTTTTTTCCCCTTAATTCTTTCAGATCCCGGTCTCCAGAATCTCTCCCATGCCGTTTCCTACATCGCAGGTCTCTCCCAGGGCTCGTTTTCCAATCTCCATCACTAGTCCTAACAGAACAGGAGCCAGAACCCTTGCAGACATCAAAGCAAAAGCCCAGCTGGTCAAAGCACAGAGGGCAGCTGCCGCCGCCGCAGCCGCAGCCGCAGCTGCCGCCTCAGTTGGAGGGACCATTCCAGGACCTGGCCCAGGCGGTGGACAGGGTCCAGGGGAGGGAGGTGAAAGGAGAACTGCTAGAGGAGGGGATCCTGACTCAGACAGAGTCAGTGAACCTGGCAAGAGCCCCGCACTGGAACTGGCAGGAACTGGAAGCAGGGGAGGTACGAGAGAGCTTTTACCTGCTGGGCCAGACTCTCAGCCACAGTCTGAGACCAGGACCGCAGGCCAGCCACAGCCTCATAGTGGCCCTGGAGCACAACTACAGCAAACCCCCTCAGTGCCTCCCGCATCTGCCGTCGGTGGAGCATGCACAGGTGTCCCCTCAGCAGCCCACACTCATGCACTCCCGCCAGCTTTAGGAAAATTAAGTAATGAAAAACTAAATCCCCCCAGGGCAATAGGCACTGTGGCCTCTCTTAGCCAGCACCAAGGGCCCAGTAACGGTAGGCAGGAGAAAGCACCTCCAGCTCCAGCAGATCCTCCTCTGATGGCGGGTGCCTCACCTGTTCATTTTGCAGCCGCTGGCACAGTGGAGCCTAAAGCAGGTTCTAGTAAGAATCCCCCAAATCCTCCGGCCTCAGCAGAGATAAGTGCTAGCGCTGCAGTGGATCCAACCGCCTCCCCTTTAACATCTCTGTTAACGACAGCCACTTTAGAGAAGCTCCCTATGCACCAGGTCAGCATAACCACAGCGCCTACCGGATCAGCTCCATCCTTGAGCACTTTGCCGGCAGCTTCTAGCCTTAAAACTCTGGGAACTTCTTCACATATGAATGGACCCATTTCAAGGCCAAGCTCTAGTATCCCTGCTAATAATCCTTTGGTAACTCAGCTGCTGCAGGGCAAAGATGTTCCCATGGAGCAAATTCTGCCTAAACCTCTCACCAAAGTTGAAATGAAAACTGTTCCACTCACTACAAAAGAGGAGAAGAGGGTAGGAGCACTCGTAGGTACCAGCATGACAGAGAACAGCACCAGAGAGGAAGTTCACGAGAGACAGTCCCATCCAGCTGCACAGCACCTGGGTAAAACTTTGCAGAGCAAGCAGCCCCCCCAGGTTTCAAGACCCCTGCAGCTCTTTTCAGGTAAGGATCTAAGGGACTCTGGCATTGACACACACCAGTACCAAGAAGGACTCAGTAAGGCCACCCAAGATCAGATTCTTCAGACTCTCAGCCAGAGGGTTCGGAGGCAGAACATTCTCTCATTTGTGCAGCCCTCACAGTTCAGCTTTACTCACTCAGGTTTCCAGTTCGAGGACATCTCCACAAGCCAGAGGTTCATGCTGGGTTTTGCTGGCAGAAGGACATCGAAGCCTGCAATGGCAGGTCACTACTTACTTAATATTTCCACCTATGGCCGGGGTTCAGAGAGCTTTAGGAGGACCCATTCTGTGAACCCCGAAGACCGATTTTGTCTGAGTAGCCCCACTGAGGCCTTGAAAATGGGATACACAGACTGTAAAAATGCAGCAGGAGATAGTAGCAGCGGGAAGGAAGATGATACTGATGAGGAAAGTACTGATGATGAGCAAGAATCTGTCCTGGTGAAGGAGGAGCTGCAGGCTGCCCAGAGTTCTGGCAAGTGTGATGCAAGTTCAGGACCACACAGTAGAGAAACCCTGTCCACCAGTGACTGTGCAGCTAAAAAGAATGTGAAGGCAGAGACACCAGTGCCTGAGCAAACCCCTTTAAGTAAGGAGAATTACCTGTTCACTCGAGGCCAAACCTTTGACGAGAAGACCCTAGCCAGAGATTTTATTCAGGCAGCACAGAAGCAGATGGCTCATGCAGTGAGAGGTAAGACCATGCGGAGCAGCCCAGAGCTTTTCAATTCTACGTCTCTTCCTCTGCCTGCAGACAGTCCTACCCATCAGTCTCTCCTCCTTCCACCACTGCAAACCCCAAAGCTGTACGGGAGCCCCACACAGATCGGGCCAAGCTACAGAGGCATGATCAACGTCTCCACCTCATCGGACATGGACCATAACTCTGCTGTCCCGGGGATGCCCGACTGTAGTCAGGTGTCTAGCAATGTTGGTGATGTCATGTCCTTTTCAGTGACTGTCACGGCTATCCCTGCCAGCCAGGCCATGAATGCTGGCAGCCACGGCCAGACCATTCCTGTCCAGGCCTTTCCTGAAGAGAACAGCATAGAGGACACGCCTTCGAAATGTTACTGCCGATTGAAAGCTATGATCATGTGCAAGGGCTGTGGAGCCTTCTGCCACGATGATTGCATCGGCCCCTCCAAACTGTGTGTCTCCTGCCTCGTCGTTCGGTAATGAGATCAGAAAGAGAGCACTCTGTAAAGGAGACAGGAATGGGGAAGGGTTGATAGATGTGGTTTTTGCATTCTTTTGGAATCACAGAAATAAACAAGTAGGTTTCAGTTTGAGTTGTCTTAAGAGACAAGTGTTACTTAATCAGGAACACAGAATACAGATCTACATTTTAGAGAAAGAGCACCTTGTATAGTAAGTCCAAGTCGAGCAAGACTTTGTGAATTTGTGACAAGTTTGCACTTACAAAATCATGTAAATATGTCACATCGTTTTAACATTTTTCCAGGTGTTTAGGTAATGATGTATTACTTTGACTTCAGATTGCTGTTCCACTTCATGTGACTTTTCACTTCATGTGGAAAGTTTAATGCCACACATGGTAAAAGGCAGCAATTTCCCTTCTGCCCTTTCCTAAGAGGCTAGAGAAAGGAAGGAGTGGAGGAATGGTCTGAGGAAATGACTGTTCATGTTGATTATGTCTTGACAGTCTGACCGCAGGCTTTACATAGATTCTTCAGTCTTTGCAGAATTTAGATTGAGGGTTTACTCACTCCCTTTACCTAGGTGGAACCTGCTCCAGTTCTTATTTTTGATAAGGCATTAATTTCATAGGTAGTGTTTCTCACTCTGAAAGTTCTGAGTTGGTTCTTGGTTTCCACAGACCAGTCCTATTGCCAGGCATTCTGCTTGCAGTTTGTGAATCCCTGCCATTCCCTAATCCCACTTCTTTGCCCTGAAGAAGAGAGTGTGAACTATTGAAAGAGTTGCCTCACTAGACCCCTGGGGTCACCATCACCTGTGCAGGGCAGTAAATCCAGCAATAATCCCTGAGGATTTAGTCATTCATGGGAGCTTACAAACAAGTTTGAAATACTAGTAGAAAATTAACAGAGAAGTGTCAGTGATAGGGTGTTTTGTCGGGTAAGCAGAGTAAAGGTGCAGAAATTGTTGAACTGAATTTAAGGAACTTTGGAAGACAGTTTTAACACTAGAAACAAAGTAGCCCTTCTCTCTCCCCCCCTTTTCTCCAACCTGTTACCTAATGTTCTACAGTCAGCTGTATCTACAGGTAGAAAAACTCTTTAATACTACATTTGCCCCATGCTGTTATATCTGTTTTGACCTCCCAGGCATTTGAGGAGCATGGAAGTCATCTTAATTATATTACTTTGAAAACATATATGTGTGGCATACACACTGTAAAAGTCAGACCCTTTTCCTCTTTTAGAAAACATGTCCCCTGTTTTGGATTACTGCTGTCTAAACATTAGAAGTTTCTAATGTAAAGGGGCTTTAGTGAATGACTAAGGGAACATTTAGAAAGGAAGAGATAGTGACTCCAAATTTTTGTTCGTTCTTTTTTTTGTTTCCTTTTTGTTGAATCCTGTCTCGTTACTGAAGAATTTTTGAATACATGTGTTTAGGTCACGGTTAAAGAACATGAAAATAAGTATACAATTTACCATAGTTTGGTATTAAAAAGTTGGGGATTGTCAGTGTGCATCGTTTGCATATTGATTTCAGATCTCCTAATTTCATGTGTGTAAAGAACATGTATTAGTGCCACCTTGCACAGTCGTCATCGTGCTTAATATTCAGGATGTGATATATACAAAATGCAGAACAGTTTAAACTCCTTAATTAAGGAGTCACATTCCAGATAGGGGAAAGTAGACAGTAATAATCTTAGCTTTGCCCCCATTGTACTACCAACCCCTCCCTACCTCACCTGTCAAATTATACATACACTCTTAATACTTTCAAACCCCACAAGAAACTATTTACTTTTGTTTTTTGTTTGTTTCTGAGTTTTTTATGGCCCAAAGCAAATAGACGGTTAATATCTGTGTTCTATTTCAGCCAAGACAATTTGATGTTCTTCTAACTTCCCTTTTTCTTCCAGCACACATATAGCTAACAGATAAGAAATCTGCAAGGATCCAGGGATAAGGAGCAAGTTCTCCAGCCAGTAACCAGTAGAAATCAGAAACCATGGTTCTGTTCTCAAATTGTCAGTGCCCTGGGTAATCCCAAGGGGTGTTTAAAAGACCTGTTGATAAAACTCTCCATTCCCAGCTTTCTCACTCCCCACTTTAGTGGCCGGACTGAGGGATGGCCTGCCTGCCTGCAGTGGTTGACTGTTTCAGAACTGACCCTACAGTGAACTTGAACGATCAATTTGAATTTTCAAAATGATTTTTCTTCTTCACGCCTTTCCTATCATAGAAAGTCTCTCCTCCACGGTTCTCTTCATCTAAGGATGGACAGACTAACCAGGAAAAGAGGAAAGGCATCAGGGATTTTCACGTCCGTTTAGAGAGCAAACCATATTGTGCCTATTCATCTTGACCCAGGCTCTTGCAGAGAGGCCCTAAGCAGTACCATTCACCAGATTCTCTTTACAAATAATCCCCAGCTAATAAAATAGTACATCGTCAGCTAGGTGCACTGCCTCAATCTTGACTAAATGAGAAAATAGATGCTGTTAGATTGGTACAAAATTGAATGCAGTCTGTTTATCAGTTTGTTTCAAAACAGTGGTGTCAAGTAGGTCATCTTACAATGCTGACTGAACTGAAAGAACAAAAATTAGAATCTGGCTCTTTCAAAAATGAAGCAGTAGGAACAAGAAAACCTTTAAATTACTATAATATCATATTCCAGTACCTTTCAAGCAGTTTTTAATCTTAGGTTTTCAGTTACTTTACCTTTCAGTTCAGTCTGGAATGTGTCTTAATAAGTGCTCAGCTTATTTTTATGGTATTAAGTTGCACTATTTCCAGTGACTAGTCAGGCATGCTGCCTGATGCTGATGCCTCCAGGGTATCTTCTCTGCCTTCAGATAACCTTCCACTGCGGGTCACCTTGGGGAGATGGCATTAATGATGTATCTATCACCTCAGTCTCACTGACGAATATTGTAAGTTGTCTAGTAGAGAAGCCTCCCTGAATCTTAAAGATTTTTTTATTAAAATTCTTCCTCCTATTAAACAAACAAACAAAAAAGCCAAATAACCTGAAGTTGTTTGCCCTACATAATAACCCATGTTGAAGATACTGAAGCTGTCTATAGTACCCCATGTAACATTTTTTAAAAATTAGACCTGGCAGATGGGAAATTTTTCTTGTGGCGGGGAAGGATACTTTAATGGGCTGGGAAGGCACACAGTGTAGATACCACAAATTTAAATAAATAGCCAGAAGAAGACTTTATTGCCTTCCAGGTGAAGGCATAAGCTCATTCATAATCGGATAGTTTACCATCCTAATTTCTTACTGCCTTTCTTCACCTGAGTCCTGAAGGCCTCTTGGGTGGAATTATTTGTTAAAATGAGGGAGTCTTCTCTGGTCATGACATCACTGTTCAGAGCGGTCAGTAAGCAGTACTAGGGTTTTCTCTGTGACTTAGGGATTCCACTTCACAGCAAGGAGAGAAAAGTCTCCCCATTTCATTACAACAATGTGCTAAGTAAAAAAAAACTTGGCCAAGGGTAGCTTTCAGCTCAATTCATAGAATAGTCCAAAGAGACTCTGAGAAATATAATAATAAGCAGGGATCTTTCCTACCGTGTTTCAATACCTACATAACCTATTGAAAGAGAACAATAGGTAAAACAGTTCCTAAAGTTGAAGTAAGAGCTTCATAGATTCTTGGTTACTTTATTTTTTTTAATGCTTTACATTTGATACAACTATTAAAGATCAATTTTAAAAAATAGCTTTCCAGTAATATATTTTAAGTAATATATATTTTAATATCTATGTAAAAAGTGACAGTGGAAGACTTTGAATTTCTCATATAAAGTATGTTTAATGTAGGACCTCACTGTTAAGGCACAAATTATTTCAAAGAAAGTTACTCAATGACACTCAGATTATTTCCAAAAAATAAATAAATGCAATAAGGGGACGTTTTGGAGTTTATTTTTTATTTTAAAAGATAATTGACTTACTTACCACAAGCTATTTTTTTTTCCTTCTGGCTTAAAGGTTTGTAGAGACTGGTTTGGTAAATGCTAAACTTTTGTGTCTTTTGCCTTTTTAAAGGAATTGTTAACATTGGAATTGAGGGTATGTACAGAGAAGTTGGTGTCAACACCATTTAAAAACATATTTTTTCACAAGTATAGAAAAATCATTTTACATAAGAATTTTAAGTATTTGCAATAAATATATGTATATAGATTGTATGTATTCATATATTCTTATTTTTCATTTTATTATTAAGTAAAAGATAATTAAAGTGAAAATGAACAACCTTGGAGTTTTTGATGCATCTTGAGGTCTGACATACATGTGAAAGTGGTGTGGGTGAAGGCCCTCAGTTGTTGCCTTATACTACTATTGGAAGATTACCAACAGATTGCACAGAAGATAGTAAAATGAGAAATTTGTGATAAATCAGGGTAGTGTATTTCTTTCAGAACTCTAGTAAAAATATTACGTTCTCCTGATCTGTCTGTCTCTCTGCTTTCACCCTTAAATTTGTTTTCTCTCCTAACCACCTAATGTTACTGCTGGGAAAGTCAAAACAAAACACGGTGCATCCTTTTTTTTTTTTTTTCCATTTATTTTTATTAGTTGGAGGCTAATTACTTTACAATATTGTAGTGGTTTTTGTCATACACTGACATGTAGTATGCTTCTAAGACAAAGAATGATAAGAAAATACCTGTAAGGGGGGAAGTAGGTTTTTCTTTTTCCACAATGGTTAATAACTCATTAACATTCTCTGCCACCACCTTCAGGCCATAGAGTTTACATGAAGAAATAATCTCATGAAGATAATAGAAATCATTCTGTTTCCCTTCTTTGAGAAGTGAATTTCATAGCCAGTTTTATGTCTTTCCCAATTGATCTGGAGATAGAAGGGCTAAGAAAACTTGAATGTTGCTCTTCTAATGACAAGAAATATGTTTATGGAAATGAGGACTGAGCCAAATGTTAGAGGAGAGGTTAACCACATACCTGGAGATAACCTGGAGTTCTGCTCTCCAGAA